GCTTGACCTGGTGAACTACCAGAACAAATGCCGTCTGATTAGAGGCTGGGATGACCTCTTCAACAAGGTCAAAGAACATATTAACAGCGTGTCTGCCATGAAGTTGTCTCCATACTACAAGGTAGAAAGAATTGCATGTTGTGTTCGCTGAGACAGTGGTTACAAATATTTAAGCTGTCAGAACTGCATCAACACCATGTGCTTCTTGTTTTTCTCTCCCAGGTGTTTGAGGAAGACGCTCTGAGCTGGGAGGACAAGCTGAATCGCATCATGGCTCTATTTGACGTTTGGATTGATGTCCAGCGTCGCTGGGTCTATCTGGAAGGCATCTTCACCGGCAGTGCTGACATCAAACATCTGCTGCCTGTAGAAACCCAGAGATTCCAGAGGTAAATAAGGACCTGTCTAATTTTTTCTATGTTTTATTTTAACAAACCAAAGTGACAAGTTCAATAAATATTTTATCACTGTAACAATATTAGCACTAGCTCTAAATTTTTTTCTCTTTTTCTTTGATCATCAGTATCAGCACAGAGTTCTTGGCACTGATGAAGAAGGTGTCAAAGTCTCCCTTAGTGATGGATGTGCTGAACATACAAGGGGTGCAGAGGTCTCTGGAGCGATTGGCTGACCTTCTGGGAAAAATCCAGAAAGCCCTCGGAGAATACCTGGAGAGGGAAAGATCCTCATTCCCCAGGTAAGAAGAGGAGAAAGAGTGCTTAAAATTGAAATTCAAATGAACCACATAAAACTTATATTTTAACCAAAGTTTTGTTCATCAAGTCTATGTAATTAAATTGCTCAGAATTAGATATTTTCTTTTTTAATTAGTGCTTGAAAAGGAGTCCTTGAATTTTATTTTGTAATGTCTGATAACAATTCACATTCCAGTGTTCATACAATGTGCATATAAAACACAGAACTTTCACGAGTTAAGTTGATGAATATTTGGGAAAAACTTTCACCAATGTATACATTCATTTATTAACTATCCTCAATTGATCCATACCACTCTTCTTGTTTCCAGGTTCTACTTTGTGGGAGACGAGGACCTACTTGAAATCATTGGTAATAGCAAGAATGTGGCCAAACTGCAAAAGCACTTCAAAAAGATGTTTGCTGGCGTTTCCAGCATCCTGCTCAATGAGGACAACACTGAGGTGCTGGGAATCTCCTCCCGCGAGGGTGAGGAGATTCTCTATAAGACACCAGTCTCCATCACACAGCACCCCAAGATCAACGAGTGGCTGACGCTGGTGGAAAAGGAGATGAGGGTGACGCTGGCCAAACTGCTAGCTGAGTCCGTCACAGAGGTCACATCCTTCAACAAGGGCACAGGCATTGACCTGAGTCAGTACATCAACTGGATTGATCGTTACCAGGTTGGTATTGAGACACTATTAGTTATTCACCATATACATGGAAGTGAGGTAATGTGATTTTACTTGATCTATTTTCTCTCTTCGCAGGCCCAGCTGGTGGTCCTGTCCACTCAGATCGCTTGGTCTGAGAACATTGAGGCTGCCTTGACTTCTATCGCTGGTGGTGGGGACATGACACTCATGCAGGGAGTGCTGTCAAATGTGGAGGCCACCCTTAATGTGTTGGCTGACACCGTGCTGATGGAGCAGCCTCCACTCCGCAGGAGGAAACTGGAGCACCTGGTTAGAGGGAATTTTAGTACCGTTTTAAAAGAATGTTGTCCAATTAAAATTGTATCTGAAATCCCTTTCCTTCTCCATCTTAGATTACTGAGCTGGTGCACCAACGTGATGTAACCAGGACTCTGATCAAGAACAAGATCGACAACCCGAAGTCCTTCGAGTGGCTCTGCCAGATGCGCTTCTATTTTGACCCCAAGCAGACAGATGTTCTGCAACAGCTGTCCATTCAGATGGCCAATGCCAAGTTCAACTACGGATTTGAGTACTTGGGAGTCCAGGACAAGCTTGTCCAGACCCCTCTGACAGACCGCTGCTATCTCACCATGACCCAGGCTCTGGAGGCCCGCCTTGGAGGGTCACCATTTGGTACGGAAGCTTTTTTTTAGTCATTTTTCCATTACCAGTACCAGCTCAACTCGACTTGAGATAGTACCTATCAATGTAGCTGGACGTCATAGCAACGGCACACACAACTGCCGCGACGTAATGTTCAATGCAACCCACATACAGCTGTTTCTAATGTAAGTTAAAACGTTTGAACATTACTCAGAATGTAAAGACAAATAAGCGGTATGAAAACCTTACAGCTGCAATTTTCCTCTGCCGTTGTTGCTGCAGTGGTCTGTGTGACGGTGGATTGCCGCAGGCTTCCACCGCCACCACTTGCGGAGCTCCTCGACTCCGAAATCTTTCAAGTACATTTTTGTTCCGCCCTCACTTCTTGTAAACCTGTCAATATTCGAAATCTACACAGTTGGTTTCTCACCTCAAAACTTCTCAGTAGTGGATTTAGTGATAAAATATGAAAACTGTAAAATATAAAACTTTCTGTTGCTGGCCTCTGTCTGGCGATGATGAGGCAGTGAATAGTGACTATTCTCTCTGACCAATCGGTAGTCTGCTGTGTGTTCACGTCACATTTTAGTATTGCCTCAGCTCGCTTGGAACCTCAACAGAGGTAATACGAAAAAAAAGTAGTACCTGGAAGCGGGTACAGGTACAACTTTTCCACAATGGAAAACCAAACAAAGGCGAGTCGAGATGGTACCGTGCAGTAGAAAAGGGGCTTTTGTACATATGAGAAATGGAGATTTTGATTTTAGGTTTACACATTAGCTTCACTGAGTTTGTTCCCTATCTAGGTCCTGCTGGCACAGGGAAGACTGAGTCAGTGAAAGCTCTTGGTCACCAGCTGGGCCGCTTTGTCCTGGTCTTCAACTGTGATGAGACATTTGACTTCCAGGTACATAACTGCATTTAGATTCTTAGGCTAGACAACAGCAACACAAGAGATCAGTACATTATGCAATTATAATTTTTGATAAAGGATGCAGCCGTTTATCATGTCTGTATTTCAAATTACAAATCTCTTTTGCTGATCTCTTTTTTTTTTTTTTTTTTTTTTTTTTTTAAATAGGCCATGGGTCGTATCTTCGTTGGTCTGTGCCAGGTGGGAGCATGGGGCTGCTTTGATGAGTTTAACCGTCTGGAGGAGAGAATGCTCTCTGCCGTCTCCCAGCAGGTCCAGTACATCCAGGTGGCCTTGAGGGAACACAGCAACCCCAACAGAGACAGGAGTATGTATATGTGTGGGAACACAGGCGTTACAATATGTAAGGAGACTGTCCTAGAATGGGAATGTCCTGATTCCTGTCCTGTTTGAATGATAATGTCCAAGACATTATGGATGGCAACAAAATGGATTTCTTCATTTTAGGAAAAAAATAATAATCTTTTCAAAGCATAACATTCAGATGAGGGAGAAAATCAGTGTCTCCACCTTATTCACCTGTCATGTCACCCTCTCAGGTGTGCCAGTCACCACAGAGCTCCTGAACAAGCAGGTGAAGGTGAGTCCAGACATGGCCATCTTCATCACCATGAATCCTGGCTACGCTGGCCGCTCCAACCTGCCTGACAATCTGAAGAAGCTGTTCCGCAGCTTGGCCATGACCAAGCCCGACCGCCAGCTCATTGCCCAAGTAATGCTGTACTCTCAAGGTTTCCGTACAGCTGAGATCCTTGCCAAGAAGATTGTGCCCTTCTTCAAGTATGTACTGTTTAAGAAAAATGTACGTAGCTTTGAGATTGTTGTCTTTGAGAGGTCTTTCCTCTGTCAATGTATTCCTTGCTTCTATTTCAGGCTGTGTGATGAGCAGCTGTCATCCCAGAGTCACTACGATTTCGGCCTCCGAGCTCTCAAGAGCGTGCTGATCAGTGCTGGTAATGTCAAGCGTGAGCGTATCCAGAGGATCAAAAGGGAGAAGGCGGAGCGTGGAGAGGTCGTTGATGAGAATGAAATCGCTGAGAACCTTCCTGAACAGGAGGTATAAAAAATTATATATGGCAAATCTGTTTTTAGAATACAGCTCGAAATTTCAGTATCTCGAATGGTTATTTCACTCGGTCTATGTCTTGTTACTGTAGATCCTGATCCAGAGTGTGTGCGAGACAATGGTTCCCAAGCTGGTGGCGGAAGACATCCCTCTGCTGTTCAGCCTGCTGTCAGATGTCTTCCCTGGAGTCCAGTACCACCGCGGAGAGATGACTGCTCTGAGGGAAGAGTTGAAGAAAGTCTGCACTGAGATGTACCTCACATACGGAGACGGTGACGATGTGGGCAGCATGTGGGTGGAGAAGGTGTGTGACTAAATGGAGTCAACATATATCCTATTGAGAAATACTGAGTTATACATCCTTGCCCACTGCTAAAGACACAGAAGTCCTTTACAGGGCTAGGATCAAATCGGTCTGCATGACAGTGCAGTATAAATCCTGTTGAACACAGATGCCCCCCGGTACCGGGGCTTTTGACAGGAATGTTGATGAATATTCACTGTTTTTATCAATATTTCTAATGTAATTTGGAACGTGGACATAGTGTTTTAAAGGAGGAGTTATTCCTGATTTATTTGGGTATGTTATTTTAGGCATATTCCTGGAAAAGGGTGCCTGTTTTCAACAGGTACTTGGTTAGTGAGTAGTTACTCACATTTTGTGAGACTTTGTCTTTCACCCTCTTCCAGGTGCTCCAGCTGTACCAGATCACACAGATCAACCACGGTCTGATGATGGTGGGACCTTCAGGTAGTGGGAAGACCATGGCATGGAGGGTGCTACTCAAGGCCCTGGAGAGGCTTGAGGGTGTTGAGGGTGTGGCCCACATCATCGACCCCAAGGCCATCAGCAAGGACCACCTGTATGGAACCCTGGACCCCAACACCCGTGAATGGACAGATGGCTTGTTCACACACATCCTCAGGAAGTAAGTTCTGTAACAAATTTCATTGTGAAGGCATACATCATGTCAGTTCATCTTTATCTTGCTAAGTACTTAAAATTTTCTTTCAATTTCAGGATTATTGACAATGTTCGAGGTGAACTGCAAAAGCGTCAGTGGATCATTTTTGATGGTGATGTTGATCCAGAGTGGGTTGAAAATCTAAACTCTGTACTGGATGACAACAAGCTGCTCACCCTTCCCAATGGAGAGCGTCTCAGCTTGCCACCTAATGTAAGAGGACAGCACGTCAAATGCAGATTCTCATTATCGTTTATGCTGGTGAAGGCATGCTGTATTGATATGACATTTATTCGGTCTCTAGGTGCGTGTAATGTTTGAAGTACAGGACCTGAAGTACGCCACCCTGGCCACTGTGTCTCGCTGCGGTATGGTGTGGTTCAGTGAGGATGTTCTCAGCACTGACATGATCTTCAACCACTTCCTGGCTCGTATCCGCAGCATCCCATTAGACGAGGGAGAGGATGAAGCTCAGCGCCAGAGGAAGGGCACAGATGACGAGGAAGAGACTGCATCACCAATGCTGCAGGTAATTAAGGGGAAGAGAAAAGGGTGCAATAATTCATTCAAGAATTAATCTAAGAAGGATGTTTATCACAGGTCTTTACTAATGTCCTGTTGCATGTTTTTACACTAGATCCAGCGAGATGCTGCAGCTATCTTGCAGCCTTACTTCACCTCCACAGGCCTAGTGATCAAGGCCTTAGAGCATGCCTCCAAGATGGAGCACATCATGGACTTCACACGCCTGCGCTGTATGGGTTCCCTGTTCTCAATGCTGCACCAGGCTTGCCGTAATGTGGCGCTATACAACAACAACCACCCTGACTTCCCCATGCCCATTGATCAGCTGGAGAAATACATGCAGGTAATGTTCTGCTTTCTGCCCTTCAAATAACTGAAAGACACACATACATTTCTTATTTTTGTAATATCAACGTTGAACTTAAACCCTGCAAAAATATATTTTCTTAAATCTGATACATTTTGTGGCATTATCTTTCTACAGAAATATCTTATCTACGCTGTGCTGTGGTCCTTCTCTGGTGACGGGCGGCTGAAGATGAGGGCTGAGCTCGGAGAATACATCCGTCGCATTACCACTGTACCCCTCCCCTCTGCTCCCAATGTCCCTATCATTGACTACGAGGTACAGCCTCCTAGTTTTAAACGGATATTGATCTTAAGTGTTTATCTACAAGTCACTTAACCAAAACTACTGAATTCTTCTGAAGTCTTTATTAATTTAATTTCAGAATAACCATTGTATTGTTTTCTTTGCATCTGGCAGGTGTGCATCTCAGGTGAGTGGCAGTCCTGGCAGGGCAAGGTGCCCCAGATTGAGGTAGAGACCCACAAGGTGGCATCCCCTGATGTCGTGGTTCCCACCCTGGACACTGTTCGCCACGAGGCTTTGCTTTACACATGGCTGGCAGAGCATAAACCACTGGTGCTGTGTGGACCTCCTGGCTCTGGAAAGACTATGACTCTGTTCAGCGCTCTCAGAGCCTTGCCTGATATGGAGGTGAGAGACTGGATGAACCTGAACTGACCTTGTAACTGATGAGGTACATCACTAGGAATTTTAATGGACCCGAAAGCTAGCACTTATGCTTTAAATGTTGATTATGTACATTGGAGTTGGAATATTATAAACTGCTGAACAAATATGGACAAACTAGGTTAAAATTAAGTTGTCATTTCCATGTCATGTCCCTGCTTTCTACCAGGTTGTGGGTCTGAACTTCTCCAGTGCTACCACCCCAGAGCTGCTGCTGAAGACCTTTGATCATTACTGCGAGTACCGCCGTACCCCCAACGGTGTGGTCCTCGCCCCTGTCCAGCTGGGCAAGTGGCTGGTGTTGTTCTGTGACGAAATCAATCTGCCGGACATGGACAAGTATGGCACACAGAGAGTCATCTCTTTCCTCCGACAGGTATGATGCATTGTTGGTGTTAAACTATTTTGTATTTATTACATTTGGCTATTATGGGACATTGAAGTGTGCAACCTGAAATTTGGCACCCCTCTTTGTATATTAAAGGCTCCCCTGTTGTGTTTTCTTTGCAGATGGTGGAACATGGAGGTTTCTACCGCACCTCCGACCAGACTTGGGTCAAATTGGAGAGGATCCAGTTTGTCGGAGCCTGTAATCCTCCCACTGACCCTGGCAGAAAGCCTCTTACACACAGGTACAGTACTCGGACTCTACACCTGATTAGAACAATGATATAATCAATACCGTGATTAACAGAAAATAAATTACAAACATTTAAATGAAAATTATACTTACAAAAAAATCTACATTGGATATGACGAGCCCTAACAGTGGCCATGTTGTGGTGTGCTGTTTTTAGGTTCCTGCGTCATGTTCCTGTGGTGTACGTGGACTATCCAGGCCCAGCCTCTCTGACACAGATTTATGGAACCTTCAACCGTGCCATGCTGCGCCTCATCCCCTCTCTACGTACCTATGCTGAGCCTCTTACTGCTGCTATGGTTGAGTTCTACACCATGTCTCAGGTAAAGGATCTTAGTAAATATCTATATAAAAAATCAAAAAGATCAAGGTTACTTAATGTCACCAGACGTACGTACAAGAGAATACGTTTTATTGATCACTTTTTAGTCCTGACATTCACACTTTCTAATTTGTTTCCATATCTCATTTTAATCCTTTTCCCCCTTCAGGAGCGGTTTACCCAGGATACCCAACCTCACTACATTTACTCTCCCAGAGAGATGACCCGCTGGGTGAGGGGAATCTTTGAGGCCCTGCGGCCACTTGAGACTCTGCCCGTGGAGGGGCTCATCCGTATCTGGGCCCATGAAGCGCTCCGTCTCTTCCAGGACAGGTGACTGCAAGTTTCTGAGTGGCTGACCTTTACCACTCTATTAAACTCTTCTTATCTACTCTGATGGTGTTTTAAGGGACTGGCATGGTTAGTGTTAGTGTGCCACTTAACAAATGCACAAGTCTTTGGAGATAATGTGGTTCATCTTAAAAACTTTTTCCAGGCTGGTTGGTGATGAAGAGAGAAGGTGGACAGATGAAAACATTGACATGGTTGCTGTCAAACACTTCCCCAACCTTGATAAGGAGAAGGCTCTCAACAGGCCTATCCTCTACAGCAACTGGCTCTCTAAGGTAAACCAGGAACAGCTTCATCACGCTGTAATAATCAAACTCTGGTAATGATGCTAAATTATTGAAAATGGGCCACAAGTCTTCAGCCGTTTTGATTTCCATTTAAACTGATATTGTCGTCTGTGGATACAGGACTACATCCCAGTGGAACAGGAGGAGCTCAGGGACTATGTGAAGGCCCGTCTGAAGGTCTTCTATGAAGAGGAGCTGGATGTCCCTCTAGTGCTCTTCAATGAGGTGCTAGACCACGTCCTCAGAATTGACCGGTGAGTGACAGTGTCTTCAGCTCACGGTCGCTGATTGACTTCTCCTCTGGTGTTTGTCTAGAAATGATCAAGAAATAAGACTGAAACAATTGTTTTGGAGTAAATTTCAAAATTGTATATCCTCCTCCAGAATCTTCCGTCAGCCTCAGGGCCATCTCCTGTTGATCGGTGTAAGTGGAGCAGGAAAGACTACACTGTCTCGCTTCGTAGCCTGGATGAACGGACTTAGTGTATACCAGATCAAGGTTGGTTCAAGACGTGAAGATATTTGAAGCCGTTCTACTACAGTTGCCTGTGTGGTTTTTATTAATTTTTTTGTGTGTGTGTGTTTTCAGGTACACAGGAAATACACTGGAGAAGACTTTGATGAGGACCTGCGTACAGTGCTGCGTCGCTCAGGTTGTAAGAATGAGAAGATTGCCTTCATCATGGATGAGTCCAATGTGCTGGATTCTGGTTTCCTTGAGAGAATGAACACACTGCTGGCCAACGGAGAGGTAACTAATTGGGGAACAACACTGCAACACAAGTTTTGAGATAAGATATCTATTTGGGTTGTACGCGCACCTACTTTTCTGGTTTCTAATACGTTAATGTTACTTTTTTTTTTTTTTTTTTTAAAGGTTCCTGGCCTGTTTGAGGGAGATGAGTATGCCACTTTGATGACTCAGTGTAAGGAGGGAGCCCAGAAAGAGGGCCTGATGCTCGATACACATGAGGAGCTGTACAAGTGGTTCACAAGCCAGGTTATCAGGAACCTCCATGTTGTTTTCACCATGAACCCCTCATCAGAGGGCCTGAAGGACAGGGCTGCCACATCTCCTGCCCTCTTTAACAGGTACAGAGACACATGGTGGACACTGAGCATCAATTAATTGATTAAATTATTGTCAATCGGGGAATAGTTGCTGCAAGGTTATAATTAGAAGATGGAATTTCTTAACTGAAAACTTTTGTGTTAGGTGTGTGCTGAACTGGTTTGGAGACTGGTCCACTGAAGCCCTTTATCAGGTGGGTAAGGAGTTCACCAGCAAGATGGATCTGGAGAAACCAAACTACAAGGTGCCAGACTACATGCCCATCGTCTATGACAAACTGCCCCAGCCACCATCTCACCGCGAGGCTATTGTCAATGGCTGTGTGTTTGTACACCAGACACTTCATCAGGTAGGGATGGATGTTTGCAGTGGTGGTCGATGAGGCGATTCTGTGGTTTGCCTCAACAGCAAATGGGCATTTGGAAATCCTGTAAAACCAAGTTAATGTGCAGTTTGCTAATGTATACTTCATATGTTGTTGGTAACTCGACACAGGCTAACAACCGTCTAGCTAAGAGAGGTGGTCACACTATGGCCATCACTCCTCGCCACTACCTGGATTTCATCAACCAGTATGCCAACCTGTTCAATGAGAAACGCAGCGAGCTGGAGGAGCAGCAGATGCACCTCAACGTTGGTCTCCGCAAGATCAAGGAGACTGTTGATCAGGTAAAGTAATTTTGTATTTTACTCTTTTAATGTGCTTGCTGGGTTGAAGTGCCATTTTATTCCACCTAATTCTTACTTACTGCTTATCAACTGCTGCTTGCTCTTGTCTGACTCCCTGATTATACTTATACATCATCAAGGTGGAGGAGCTTCGTCGTGACCTGAGAATCAAGAGCCAGGAGTTAGAGGCCAAGAACGCTGCTGCCAATGACAAGCTGAAGAAGATGGTCAAGGACCAGCAGGAGGCTGAAAAGAAAAAGGTACAAAGGATTTTTTTTTTTCTTTCCTCATCTTGAAGACAAACCTAACCTCTTGATAATGTGTTTTAGCTTGTAGTAACGTGATCCCTTAGCCTTGCAGTGCACATTTGGATTAATTGATGTATTAAACTATACTCCTATACTGTTACTATTGTGATTCCAGGTGATGAGCCAGGAGATCCAGGAAGCTGTGTACAAGCAGCAGGAGGTGATCAAGGACAAACAGCTGAGTGTCAAAGAGGACTTGGACCAAGTGGAGCCTGCTGTTATTGAGGCTCAGAATGGTACAGTAGCATATTTTCTCAGAGCAGTCTTTAAAGAGCATTTGATTTGTTGTTGCAGAATGATTACCGCAGTCTTGTGCTGCAAGGATGGAACAGATCATACTGTTTACTAACAATAGAACTATATAAATGCCCTACAATGTGTGCTACACTGTTGTTTTGACGAAAAATGACTAATTTATTGTTCATTCCTGTAACAGCTTTTCTTCATTGTTATTACATAGTCACTTATGGTGCAAGGGCTTCTGGTTAACAGTTCGATCTTTATCTGCATCCTCCCTTCATCACTGCCCCTTCCTTGTCATAATCCACCTCCTTGTTCACCTGATGTTGATAGCTGTTAAGTCCATTAAGAAGCAGCACCTGGTGGAGGTGCGTTCCATGGCCAATCCTCCTGCGGCCGTGAAGCTGGCCCTTGAGTCCATCTGCTTGCTCCTGGGAGAGAGCACAACTGACTGGAAGCAGATCCGTTCCATCATCATGAGGGAGAACTTCATCCCCACTATTGTTAACTTCTCTGCTGAAGAGATCAGGTGAAAAAAGAGAGAATATATTCTGCAATTGCACTAAAAGCTCTCTCTGTCTCTGCCTCCCCTCTGAATTTTCAACTCCTGAATCTTTCAAATTCCTCCCTTCTTTTGCCCTATATGCTCCCCTTCTCCCTCTCTTCTTTCTTTCAAATACATTCCTCTTAACTCCTAACTAGCGGTGAGTTCTATTAAGCGGCAGCACCTAGTAGAAGTGCGGGCCATGACCAATCCCCCAGCCGCAGTCAAGTTGGCCCTGGAGTCTATCTGCCTTATGCTGGGCGAGGAGACCAATGACTGGAAAAAAATCAGACAAGTTATTATCAGGGACAATTTCATCAGCAGCATAGTCAACTTTTCTTCTGAGGAAATGAGGTACCGGTGTCTGTCTAGTCTTAAATGGAAGCGCAAATGATATCAATCAATCAGTATATTAATCAAGTGGCACCTGTGATCAGAATTTGATTTTAGGTTTCTTATTGATTCATTTTGCTGAATCAGAAAATGATTTTTAGGTAACATTTTGTCAGTGGTTGATTTTGCATTTCTCACAGTGAAGATGGTAGAAATTGAACCCCTTCCCTACCCCCAACAAAATTTTAATGATCTTCTGCAATGTTTTATTTCCTGATTCATGATAATTGTTCCACACTTCACATTAAAGGTTTTGTCTATGTAAAGTTCTGCTATATTATAACTACTTGGACTGGTTTCTACTTATCCAGTGACTCCATCCGTGAGAAGATGAAAAAGAACTACCTCTCCAACCCAAGCTACAACTACGACCAAGTCAACAGGGCGTCACTGGCCTGTGGACCTATGGTGAAATGGGCGATTGCTCAGGTAAGGAAGCATAAACGATATGAAGATTAAGTGAATAATTGGGTAAAGAGAGCACTCCTTTAATGTATACCATGTTCTACCGTTTCCCTAGCTTAATTATGCTGACATGCTGAAACGTGTGGAGCCTCTGCGTAATGAACTGCAGAAGCTCGAAGATGACGCCACAGACAACAAGACAAAGGCAGAGGAGGTGGAGCAGATGATCAGAGACCTGGAGGCTAGCATTGCCCGCTACAAGGAGGAATACGCCGTCCTCATCTCAGAGGCCCAGGCCATCAAGGCCGACCTGGCTGCGGTTGAGGCTAAGGTAACCGGTCACCAAACCAATATTCGGTTCCCTCTGTGTCTGTCTCTTCTCATCCAGTTTAACATGCGTCTTCCAGCATTGTTTCTGAACTCTTGCTCTCGCCTCTCACAGGTGAATCGCAGCACAGCCCTACTGAAAAGTCTGTCAGCTGAAAGGGACCGCTGGGAGAAGACCAGTGAGACCTTCAAGAACCAGATGTCTACCATCGCTGGAGACTGTCTGCTCTCTGCAGCTTTCATTACCTATGCCGGCTACTTTGAGCAACAGATGAGACAGAACCTGTTCACTACTTGGTCTCACCATCTACAGCAGGCCAACATTCAGGTAGTTAAAGCTCCAATACACAAAGTCATGATTCATCACATCTACAAATCCTGCCTTCATTCATGTTACCAGTAAGTATGTTGCAGTTTAGGTTTTAATGAATTTAAAGGTGCTGTCCTCCACTTATGGTTTGCGTTCTTTCAAATGTGTTTTAGAGTACACACATGTTGAACTTGAAATCTACCATATGCACTACCACATATTTTATATGTATTATGTTAAACTCCAATGGTGTCATTTCTTTCCCCCCCAGTTCCGTACGGACATTGCCAGAACTGAGTACCTGTCCAATGCTGATGAGAGGCTCCGCTGGCAAGCGAACTCCCTCCCAGCTGATGATCTCTGCACTGAGAACGCCATCATGCTCAAGAGGTTCAACAGGTCAGGATCTTTCTCTTCTTGCATTGCTGTAATGTTACTCCTAATACTAAGCCTTCCTCAGCATTAATTAGCCTTCAGCTGATTGCACTTCCCATGCTGATGTATTCTATATCACTGCCCTTTCTAGGTACCCTCTAATCATCGATCCATCTGGCCAAGCCACAGAGTTCATAATGAATGAGTACAAAGAACGCAAGATCACCAGAACCAGTTTCCTGGATGATGCCTTCAGGAAGAATCTGGAGAGCGCCTTGCGTTTTGGAAACCCACTGTTGGTCCAGGTATGATCAACTACTATACACTGCTAACATTATTGTGCTACTTACTCACTTTCCAATGCTCTTGTATTCATCAAGAATTTGTTTTATTTATAGTAATTTTTTTTTTTTTCCCCCTTAAGGATGTAGAAAGTTACGACCCCATCCTGAACCCGGTGCTGAACAGAGAGGTCCGCAGGACTGGAGGACGTGTCCTCATCACCCTGGGAGACCAGGACATCGATCTGTCACCTTCATTTGTCATCTTCCTTTCTACACGAGACCCAACGGTGAGTAGACTATCTTTTTATGTTATCAATAGATAAAACCTAAATGATTAGAGAGTACTTAGCTAATTTTAATAGGTGTATGTCAGTGTTAACAAATTATGTCATAAAGAAAGACTGAAGTAGGAGTATTTCCCTCATTGAAATGATTGTAGAAAGACATTTTTCTATGCGTGTCTTGTGTATGCAGGTCGAGTTCCCACCAGACTTGTGTTCTCGTGTTACATTCGTCAACTTCACTGTGACACGCAGCAGCCTTCAGAGCCAGTGTCTCAACGAGGTCCTAAAGGCTGAGAGGCCTGATGTGGATGAGAAACGCTCTGACCTCCTTAAACTGCAGGGTGAGACAGAAAACTGCTGATGTGCTGACCAATGTCGCGTTGCAAAAAGATGACAAAAGCCGATCAACAACTGTCCTCCTGTCTCTTGTAGGTGAGTTCCAACTGCGTCTGCGTCAGCTGGAAAAATCCCTTCTGCAAGCCCTCAATGAGGTTAAAGGCCGCATCCTTGATGACGACACCATCATCACCACGCTGGAGAACCTGAAGAAGGAGGCAGCTGAGGTGACCAGGAAGGTGGAGGAGACCGATATCATCATGGCAGAGGTGGAGGCAGTGTCACAGCAATACCTGTCTCTGTCCTCTGCCTGCAGCAGCATCTACTTCACCATGGAGTCTCTCAACCAGGTCTGGACATATCTTACTAGCTCTTTCAAACGATCCCTTTTTTGGTTTATAATTTCTTAATCTCACTACATTAAGAACTCTCGTAAACTAGTCAAACAACCACTTAATTAACAAATCTGCGTTTGTGTGTTGCTCCAGATGCACTTCCTGTACCAGTACTCCCTTCACTTTTTCCTGGATACCTACCACACAGTGCTGTATGAGAACCCCAACCTCAAGAGCATCAGTGATCATACACAGAGACTCGATATCATCACCAAGGACCTCTTCCAGGTTTGAACCACACACTTTGAAAACAAGAGGCTCCTTTTCTTTGGTGGTATAGTAATAGACATGATTTGCTTACGTATGTATGGATGTAGGTGGTGTTCAACAGAGCAGCCAGAGGTATGCTCCACCAGGATCACATCAGTTTTGCCATGCTGCTGGCTAAGATCAGCCTAAAGGGCATAACCAGGTAAGATAGCAGTATTGCACCAATGCACATTGAAAGGAAACAAGGTGTCAATATAGATCTTAATAATTTTAACCCATCTTTTTCCAGTGAGCCTTCATATGATGCAGAGTTCCAGCACTTCTTGCGTAGTAAGGAGATTGTTCTGACTGGCATGTCACTTCCCAAAGTGAAAGGTCTGACCACTGAACAGAGTGAGGCCATGGTCCGCCTCAGCCGCCTGCAAGCGTTCAACGACTTGGTGGAAAAAGTTGAGGCAGATGAGGTGAGCATTGAGAAATACTGGCAATCTGTTATAATTAAACAGAAGCTACACATGGACAGACTTGTATTTATAAGCATACCTCTTAATACAAAACGTATCAGTAATCATTATTGCTTTGTTTTTTTCAGCAATTCTTCATGTGGATTGAGAGCAACACTCCAGAGTTGTCTGTTCCTTATCTGTGGTCAGAGGAGAAGCAGTCCAGTGAGTATATTGATAAATGATGCGTAAATGTTAAAGCCAAGCAAATATTGATAGATTTTTTTTTTTTTTTTTTTAATGAATGTAAATATGTACAGTATATATTCTTTGTATACATGACCCTGCTCTGACCTGTCTGCTCTTCCCTGTACCACTCCATGTTCAGCTCTCATTGGCCAGGCAGTGCACCAGCTGTTGCTGATCGAGGCCTTCCGCCCTGACCGTCTCCTGGCAATGTCGCACATTTTTGTCTCAAAGGTGCTGGGAGAGTCTTTCATGAGCCTCATCGAGCAGCCTCTTGACCTGGCCAATATCGTGGATAACGAGGTAGTTACCAGTATTTCTTCTGTGGTTTTCTCACTAGAGACGTTTGCCATAGTCAGTATTGTTGAATCTGTGCTGACATTCCTCTCTTGTGTCTGTAGGTGAAGCCCAGCACTCCAGTGTTGATGTGCTCTGTACCAGGTTATGATGCCAGCGGCCTGGTCAGAGATCTGGCTGCTGAGGAGAACAAACAAATCACCTCCATTTCGATTGGTAAGGAAGACATAAGCTCATACTCTGGCTACACAAATAGGATCAAGTGAGGATATTGTTAAGTGTATTCTTACACTGTCCACAGGTTCGGCTGAGGGCTTCAATAAGGCAGACAGAGACATCAATACTGCTGTCAAGTCCGGCAGGTGCGTAATGCTTTTTCTGTGTATTTTCTGAGCATGTACACTTTGTTTTGGTGTACTGACATCCTGATTGTCATGCAGGTGGGTGATGTTGGAGAATGTCCACCTGGCCCCCGGATGGCTGATGCAGTTGGAAAAGAAGCTTCACTCCATGCAGCCTCATTCCAGTTTCAGGCTTTTCCTGACAATGGAGATCAACCCCAAGGTAAACCACATCCCCCAAATAAATATTTCCATTCATTTCTTTAACTGGTCAAAGTCTCAATACTGTGTTTTCCCGCCAGGTGCCAGTGAATCTGCTTCGTGCCGGTCGTATCTTTGTGTTTGAACCTCCTCCTGGCGTCAAGGCCAACATGCTCAGAACCTTCAGCAGCATCCCTGTGGCTCGCATGTGCAAGGTGACTTGATCGGGACTTACCGACATACACTCACAGTTGTCCATCATTGCTGTTTGCAGACTTCTCCACAATTGCCTTCTTAATAACTTTTTTCCCATGTTTCTACAGGCTCCCAACGAGCGTGCTCGTCTCTACTTCCTGCTGGCTTGGTTCCATGCAGTCATTCAGGAGCGTCTGCGCTATGCACCACTGGGCTGGTCCAAGAAATATGAATTTGGAGAGTCTGACCTTCGCTCTGCCTGTGACACCATTGACACCTGGTTGGACGACACTGCTAAGGTTGGAGATTATTTCAGAAATTATATACAGTGCTTTGAATGTGTCAGCATAAGAATTATTTGTTGCCAATATAAATTATTATATACAACAACCCATAAATTTATACAGTTGTTACCTTTAGAAATACTAAATTCATCAGATCAATTATGTTAAGAAATTACAACCTTAACACACAGGGTCGTCAGAATATTGCACCGGACAAGATTCCCTGGGCGGCTCTGAAAACTCTGATGGCCCAGTCTATCTATGGTGGCCGCATTGACAATGAGTTTGACCAGCGTCTGCTCAACACCTTCCTGGACCGCATCTTCACCAAGGGAAGCTTTGACAGTGGATTCAAACTGGCTCTCAAGGTTGACGGGCACAAGGACATCAAGATGCCTGATGGCATTCGGTCAGTAGTGGCTTTTAATAGTGTTAATATTCCAGCTAAAGCTCCAGTTAAACAAATGTTCTCTCATGACCTCAACCAGTTAAAAATGATTTATGATTTGTTACAGGCGTGAGGAGTTCATGCACTGGGTAGAGCTGCTTCCCGACACTCAGACTCCATCTTGGCTCGGGTTGCCCAGCAATGCTGAGAAGGTCTTGCTCACCACTCAGGGTACGCCACAGCCGGTCATCTTGATCATGTGTACTGTGGTTTTCTGTCACAGTAACTGGACCACTACGCATCCTGATCCAACTTCCTCATTTCATCTAATCAGATTTCATGTTTTTAAAGGGCAGATCATTAACCATCTTTCTCTATTCTAGTGTCTTTACTTTTATTTTGACAGGGTGTCTCACTGGAACAGTCTGTTTGGGCAGACTAGTGTGTGTTTGTGTGTGGTGGCAAAGAATATGTTGAGGGTGGTCTCCCTGCTAATCTCTCTTCTGATGGGTTCACTTCACCTGTTAGTTTTCTAGTACCTCCTGTTTGCAGTCATGTATATCGTAGGCACACGGTGTAGCTGTGTAGTTGTAGTCATTGCACTTTAACAGGTGCTCTGCCCAAAGGAAGGGTGTGTGTGTCTCCTCACCCTCCAGCAGCTGCATTTCACAGCCATCATGTCGCTTTGCTAAAATACTATCCCCACCCTCAGGTTAGGATTCAAAACAGCCACACACCTCCCCATCCCCTCAACCATATCATCCTCTCCCTGTTTTGTCATATTGATTTCCCACACCTCCTCCAAACTCCCACAAGCATCCACCCATAGGACCGCCTGTCACACTCCCCCTCTCCTTCATCCTCACACCCCACCCCTTAGTTTCTCTCTCAAACCCGTTACCCTACATTGGTTATGTTCCTTTCTTCTACAGATCCAGTCAGTCAAGAATGCGGTTACTTTATCCACCTGGGAACTGTGTTGAATGTTATATTTGAAATATTGCCTGAAGCCTGGGTCTTCCTACCCAGTGTAGTCCTAATTTGTCTGCCTGCCTGGCACAAGTCCTTTTTTTTTTTTTTTTTTAATTGAACAAACTTTCTTAACACACCCTTAAGGTAAGCTGTTTGTTTCATGTTCCACTATTAATTTCTTCTCCCCCTACCCTCCCACCTTGGCTTTGTCTTCCAACTCCGTCCCCGCTCACTCGTTCCCTCCGCCGGGCTGCACAGGCACTGACATGATGGGTAAGATGCTGAAAATGCAGATGTTGGAGGATGAGGATGACCTTGCCTACGAGACGGAGAAGAAAGAGCGCGCCTCGTCCACAGCTGATGCCCAGCCAGCCTGGATGAGGACCCTCCACACCACTGCCTCCAATTGGCTGCAACTCGTTCCCCAAACAGTCAATCCACTCAAACGCACAGTGGAGAACATCAAGGTAATGGCAGAATTGTGAGGAAAGGTTGGCAAGAAGACTTCAGAGGAACGGCTTAAAATATTGTGTGTTCTCTTCAAGAAGTTGTATATAATATTTTGGCAGTTACTGTAATGCAGATCCATTTTTGTATGTTTTAAATGATTGTGCTTGACTCATGAGGTGAAATAAAAAACAAAAGCACAGGTTAGGAGTTAGAAGAAGTAAGCAGATAAATTTGTGATTTTCTTTGTGTCATTGATGCATCTGCCAAGCGTCTGCATTGGATTTGATTTCGTTTTGTCCAAACAATTCAGGACCCACTGTTCCGGTTCTTTGAACGCGAGGTGAAGATGGGTGGCAAGTTGCTGCAGGAGGTCCGTCAGGATCTGTCTGATGTGGTGCAGGTCTGTGAGGGAAAGAAGAAGCAGACGAACTACTTGCGCACACTCATCAGTGACCTTGTTAAAGGTAAAATCTTGCAACTCCTTACAATTACTCATTGTCAGCCTTGACCAACAAGATATTTTTGAATAACTGGCATACTTGCATAAATTTTATTTTCTCCTCAGGCATCCTCCCTCGCAGCTGGTGTCGCTACACAGTTCCAGCCTCCATGACGGTGATCCAGTGGGTGGCAGACTTCAGTGAGCGAATCAAACAGCTGCAGCAGATCTCCCAGGGAGCTGCCAGTGGGGGTGCAAAGGAACTGAAGGTATGGTTTGTGCACAGAATCAAGATTCCTTTAAAAACTGACCCCCTCACTCATTATTTTCTCTCCTTCTCTAGAACATCCACGTGTGCCTCGGCAGCCTGTTTGTGCCGGAGGCTTACATTACAGCTACCCGCCAGTATGTGGCCCAGGCCAACAGCTGGTCTCTTGAAGAGCTGTGTCTGGAGGTCAATGTTACCTCCGCCCAGGGTGCCGCACTGGATGCCTGCAGCTTTGGCATCAAAGGTCAGACAACAGGCATTCCATCTACTGTTGTTAGCATTAGAGTTGTATGGGATATGGTGCCGTTGGCTCACCTGGTAGTGTGCACACCACGTACAAGGCTGATTCCCTACTATAGTGGCTGCATGTCATCCCCTATCTCTCTCTCCCAAATTTCTTATCTCTCTTCAGCTGTTTCTATCAAATAAAGGCAAAAGTCCAAAAAACTATCTTTAAAAAAAATAGTTTTTTGCAAATCGCATAAGGTCCATACTGAGGGGTACATGAATTGACAAAATGTCCTTTAAAGAAGTGAATAGATAGGTGTAGGATAGGTCCTAATTCTGTAGCACCCAAATATTCAAAATGTGAATCCAGTAACAACACAAAATAACTAACACAAATAACTCTCTCATTTGTAAAAATTCCAAGGGTTCTAATGTCAAACACTGCTTCTCTCAGGTCTGAAACTGCAGGGATCTACCTGTGCCAACAACAAGCTGTCTCTGTCCACCTCTATCTCCACTGAGTTGCCTCTCACTCAGCTCCGCTGGATCAAGCAAAGCAGTGATGAGAAGAGACACATGGTATGAACAAGATATGTATACACAATATAAAACAATTTCTGTCAAATAATTTAGTCAGATGTTTTAGAAAGATAACTAATGTTGATAAATTTTGCTTTTGCTTTCTTTTTTTACCTTGTATTGTGTTTTGGATGACTGTCCAGAACCACTCATCACATTTAGTTTTTCCTCCTTGTTGCAGGTGACTCTGCCAGTGTACCTGAACTTCACCAGGTCGGACCTCATCTTCACTGTTGACTTTGACATTGCCACCAAGGAAGATCCACATAGCTTCTATGAGCGCGGAGTTGCTATCCTGTGCACTGAGTAGATGACCCAAGTCATTCCTGGAGACCAGAGAGTCTTTATTATTAAGCCACACATAATCACTTCATTGCTTATTAACCACCATTTTAAAAAGTAGTTGTTGCATTCCAATATAAAACTTAGTTTTTTTTGTGGAGCAGTAATTAGCATGTACCCATTGTTAGTGTTTTTGGAAAGTGTCTTAGAAGGTCAAGGGAATGTTGTCAGATGGTAAATGAAGAGAAAATGAAATGTGGAAAAGGAAAGTTGAAAATACATAGTTTTTATGAAAGAACTGGTATGTTTTTAGATTGAATAAAACTTGTTAGAATGAAATAAACTGCATTTATGACTTCACCATTGTCTGTGTAGTAGTAAATGTTTCATTTAAAGTCGGTATCATATGTGGCACTTGCCAGTGTAAACTACCGAAGGTTTCTGTAGAGACTTCTCAGCTCTTCAATACTGTCAATCTCTCAGATTCACTTGTCAAAAGTCTGCCAGAATCTACACATTAACTGACAAGATAAGGGGAGAGGTTGATTAAGTCACTTGATTTCATGATATATGAAGCGGACACCATAAAACAAGGAAGCTGATTGTCCTAATGTGTCTGTTGATCTAGTTTGACTAGATCACTTGTCCTTGTTAAAGGACTTCTCTGAAGGGAATTCCACTTGTTTGCTATAAACTTAGATTAAGCAGTGTGTAAGTGGACAGTATCAGGGAATGTATGCAATTTTTGTATGAATTTGCAGAGGAAGATGATGGCCTCTATTTAGCTCAGATCCCACATCACCTTTGGACACGGTGACTGACATTTCAATATACAACCTGAGAACCAGTGCGCTTGGTGGTGGACGTTGACTTCATGACAGTCATCCAACTTATCCACCAAACCTTTACACAAAGATACTGAAGGTTTCCCTAACCAGAACAGGACTTGAGGCTAAACGATGTAAAAATGTTACATTTAGAGTGTGTTAGTACCACCTGCTGGTTGGAGAAATGAACTTTTATGTTTGCTAGAGTAAAAGTACATAAACCATAAATAATGAAGGAAATCAAACTAGATAACTGCAAGATATTAAAAAAAGTGTCACACCAGAAGTGTGTGAAAAGGGAGGATGAAATTTAGGTTCTTGTTTGCAGCAAAATCAGACTACATTATCACACTATATGTTCAAGACTGAAGAAAATCAATAAAGTTGTGCATTTTTTTGTTTGTCCCAATTTCAAAAATCGATCTAGTATTATCTTCCAAGAGGAATTTACAACTGTTACTTAAAAAATGTATTTTCCAGAAAGAGAACTTCAACACAAATGCTCGAAACTGGTGAAGAAATTTAATTTAGATCAATTGGTACAAAGCAACATTTTAACATACCATTTTAACAAAATTAGCTTTTGGTGTGTCACCCGTGGATAAAATTTAGTGGCTGCTGAATGTCATCTTTACCATTAAAATCAGAAGGCGCTCAAAATTTACTATCCTGTGCACCAATATCTACTTATTTAGTGGAGGAAAAAAAAAAAACACAACTAGTGTCATATTTTAATTTACTTTTTGAAAGATGCTTTTTCTTTATTGGTCTGTAATGTAATGTATAGTTTTCTTCATTGCCAGCACATAGGCTGTACTTAGGTCTATTATGGAGACCCAGGCTGCTATGGTAATTTTACCAACAAAAATGATTGCCTAGAGACAATCAGCACAATATGTGACACCTGTGAGAAACGCAACATAACTTGAGGTAGAACAATAAATCATCAGGTCTCTACACCAATTTATCTTTACACGACTAAACAAAGTGCATTGCCAGATAACTAATTATAATATTTAATCTACCACTTAAGGCATTGAATATGACTTCAGTACTCTCAGTCCATGGTTGGATGGCTCTAACGTGGTTGAGACGCAGAGTCCCCTCCCTCTTGTTCGTCCTCCATGTTGACAACACACTGCCTCTTTCTCTGCCCCTGCTCCTCCACTTCTGCTCCAGGGGAACCTAGCTTTCTCTTGTAAACAGATCTGAGGTTACACCCACTAGAGGGTCTCTCAGAGCAGCAATCCAGCATCCGGGACGACCTGCCTTCCACTGGGATGACAAGTCCAGGTGTTTCAGATGTGGACGGTTTTCTAGCATGTAAGCCTGAATTATCAAATTGGCAATGGTATTCTATATCCATGGTTTGGGTGTGCATTGTTGATTCATTGGCCAATTCCTTATTAAGATCTCTACAGTCATCCCTGTCATTGTGGGAGGGCAGAATGTCAAGCTCACAGACCCAAAGCTCAGAGTCACTCCCACATTTCATCTGGACGTCCAAAAGATGTTTCTGGTCCGTCACAGCATCTCTCATGCCATTTTTCACCACTTCTCTGAGGGCAACGGAGGCAGGGTGATGAAGGATAAATCTCCTGCTCCTGCCTGAGAACCGACAGCCTCCTCCTCCACCTTTTCCCTGCTGCTTTGTCCGCCTGCTGGAGACACCCACGTCGACGTTTGACTCATCAGAATCCTCAGAGCTCCCGTCGTATGGGTCCAAAAACTATAATCATGCATTAACTCATTCAGAAATACATAGAACAGCAGGGTGCTTTTGCAGCAGAATGGATGGATTAAAGAAAGGAGAATGCTTACCAAAGAATAACCGCCATGCCTTCCTGCAGGCTTGTGTGTTAGCGGCAATGTCCTCCGAAAAGTCCCACTCTCTGGTGCACTGCTCACACATCCCTGCACAATGAGTTCAGGGTTAAGTTTTTTTTGTATCAACAAGACAGTAATTTATTTATAAATTAAAAAGATCAATGCACGTTGGAGCCCAGACTTCCTAAATGATGTTACTAAGACCATGAAAGACAAGACTTGCTGGTAAGGTGTATACATGTGCAGTGTCAGGGGTGGTGTGAAGATAATGGCATGTAGAGTCAATTTCTTAGAAAGCATCTCAGTTTAGGTATATTTATTTAGGTAGGTCTATTTTGTCACAATATAACAGTTTATATATTGAAATTGAGTTTGATACCATTTTAAAACAAAAATAATGGAGATGTCCTCCATCTGGCACTGAGATCAGGTCTCTTTAAGCCATTTAAAATATACATATACTGTATAAATTTACATAGCCACTTATTCATTTGTGCTTATTGTGTGCAATATTTGAGGTTGAGGAAGATTAAATGTGTGTCAAAATACCATTTTAAGTTGAATATTGTTGTGCTGCACAGATGTCCTGGCCTACACATCATATTCTACAGACTAAAGATAGATCTTTCTTTAGTACAAAAATTCTCTAAAGAAAAAAAAAATAAAATAAAAAATTCACACTGTAATCATTTTAATGTTTTTTTTTAATGAAAATGAGAATAATGTAAGAATGATCATTCCCTCCAATGTCGCAAATCACATCGCAATTTCAGTCAAAATAATCACTATTAGTTATTTTTTCAAAATTGTTCAACCCTAGTGTGTGTGATGTTCAAATTAAGAAGTAAAGCAATACCATAGTGCTGGTGTCTGACCATCTTGGGCTGATCTCGGAGTCAGAATCGGTGCTGGACTCCACTTTACACATGTCCTAACAAAAACAAAGAAAGTTCACTCCAGTCCAGAATGTCAAGGTAATAGTTAAATGCAGGTGATTTAGAATTTTTTTACACTGACGAGGTCAAACGCTCTCAATATGCAGATGAAATGTGGCTAACTGATCTCACCATGTATTTGAAAGCAAGCTGGTCCATGTTGTTCGACACATGTCTATCACCGTGATCTGATTGAAGAAAATAACGCATTAAAGTTGTAACGTTAGTGCAATATTGCATTTAAGCACATTTAAAAATAAACACACATTTCTTCTTTTTAAAATCATGGAGAATATCATGTCCAAGAAAACAAATATGTGAAATGAGTACCAAACATTAAAATTTAAATGAAACTAAAAATTGATAACTCACCTGGAAGTGAGAGTTGTCTTCTCCTATATGCCATGACATTCGGCACGTAAAACTTTTTTTTTTTCAACCACGACAAAGTAAAACACATAAAAGATGTCGATATTGCGTAGTCAGGTAGGTAAAGTGGTAGATTAACGTTAATTAATCAGCAACGCGTAGATGCCTTTGATATGTTGCAGCCAAATGTGGCCACAGGTGAGCAGGTCACACATGACAAACAGCATGGACACGCGTTCAAAACGCTAACGTTACTCAGTTTGCCAATTTCAAATTTTTAACAAAATAATACGTCCGGCGATATTTGTTTTTCAAAATAAAACTCAGTATTGACCTCGTTGATTCTGCCATTCTGCACGACCCCATCCACGACAGTTTAAATGCCAGTTTATTTTATTCTTCCTAACCAAATGTCTGTGCAGGCTGAGGAAGTGGTACATGACTTCAAAAATAATGTCGAACGCTTGGTTAAACATATATACAAGTAACGTTAAATTTATATAACTTTCCACCAACGTAAAATATATCCTACTGTTGTATGACTGTCCAAAATGTATTGTACTTTTTGTAACATATGGTTTAAAAACAATGCTTCAACGTGTTAAAGAAGTGCAAAGATGTGATAAGTTATTCTTAATTCGCATCTTCTTCCGCCAGTTCCCCGGTGAACCGTTGGGGGGAACGGGAGAGTCGGAATGCCCGCTCCATGGCCCGCTCCCCCCCCCTGCGTAAGATCCGGCCGGCCTGGGGGGAGAGGAATGAATGTTAATTTCAAAGATGGCGGCGGAGGGAGGAGGGAAGGAGATGAACGAAATTAAAACTCAGTTCACCACTCGGGAAGGCGTCTATAAACTCCTCACTCACTCCGAATACAGCCGTCCTAACAGGGTGCCTTTCAACTCGCAAGGCTCCAACCCCGTCAAGGTCTCATTCGTGAACGTCAACGATCAGTCGGGCAACGGCGACAGGATCTGTTTCAATGTGGGCCGTGAGCTGTACTTCTACATCTACAAAGGCGTTAGAAAGGTAGCCTGCTAACACGGCTAATGTAAACGGAAATGTGTGATTCTACGTGTTAAAAAACATAACTGCTGTCTGAGCCGTTGCTAAACTTCAGGCTTGTGTTGGCTGTATTAAAGAACTCTGGCAGG